ATTGATGGATTCGGAAAGGGGATTAATGTAGGCTTATGTCCCCGCCCGCTTTTAAGACGAGATAATAAAGGAAAAGGGGTAAAAAATCGTATTATTTGTCGAAAAACCCGGAATTCCTGTCCCCCCGTCGCCGGCTCCTCGCCCAAGGTCAAGGGACTTTTTTCCCCCCGACGTCTTCCTCCCTTCCTTCATTAACCCACCTTTAACGAATTTCCATCGTCCTACACCTCCTCTCCCCGTTGAAAGGCGCTCCGTCGCTCTCCAGGAGGAAATAAATCGATAAACGAGACGAAAAAGAAAGGAATGCCGAGGCCGCTAATGGCTGAAGGTCGCGATAAATAGGAGGAAGAGGCAAAGGGGTGATAAATGGAGGGAGAGACAAATTGATGAATATTTTTCCTGTATCCTTCACTTTCTTCGGTATCTGGTGGTTATTTTTTTGCTCTTGTTCATGAATGGGATTTTTTTTGGGGGGTAATAAATCGGGGTCTAAGCTACATGTAGGCCTATGTGTTTGTTTGTTTGCTTGTTTGTTTATGGGATATTTTGGACCTTATGGAAGGAAATGGAAGCTGGTTGGTACAGACACCGCCGCTTTGGGGAATGACTCGGTAATCTGTTAATGACATTGTATACTAGGGTTTTTGATTTATTGATTTTTTTCTCCATGGCTTCCCGAGGTCTTAGGTCGCCGGGGAGTCAGGGATGTAGCCGTACTTGACCTTGTTTGTTCACCCCGTTCCTCGGTCTTGTCGAGAAGGGAATTATTTCTTATTAATTTCGTACACGCTGCTGGAATTTGTCTGTTTGCCAGGACAGCGACGCACAAAGATGGAGGGAAAGGGACACTGACATAGTATAAAGAATAAAAAAAAATAAAAATAAAGAGAAATAGAGTAGGAAGCGATACAGGTTTTATTTGTATTGGCCTCTTATTAGCCGAGAAATCCAGAAATTGGCCTCGGCATATCAGAGTCCATATCACCCTCGTGGTCAAAGTTCTTAATATTTGTTTTCTATAAATTGGCACAAAGTGAGGTAATTGTTGCTGAGAGGGACTCCCTCGAGAGACTAGGTCCCAAAATCAGTATTTTGGGCGTTTTCTTCATCTACCCAACGACCTTGGGGGATGCGTGGGAAACCAGGGTTTGAAAAAGGGGGGGGTGGGGGTTAATTGCTGGCACTGGATGTCATTAGAAACCTGCAGAATTTGAAGAAAGTGATTTATTAAGCGTTAAAAAGTTGATTTTTTGAAAACCCGTGCGCAATTTTGTCCGCAGAACACAGAATAAAATAGTTCCTGAGTAAACAAGCGCAAAGCCAGGTTGCAAACAATATTATGAGAAATGTAGTTACATATAAGTAAACATTGTGTATCTTGCAAACCCAGAAATCCAACCAAAAACGCGATCATTACAGAAATTGGACGTAGAGAAAATGTATAAAGTGGAGCTATAGAAAACAAGACCTTAGGGATACTGGCTGCATGAGGGTATTATGGACGCAACGGACATTTTCATCATTTCCCAGTAAATATGAGGCCGCTGCAGGTAAACCTGCATCGTTTCCATAAGACAGCAATGTCCATTTGCCTATACCCCCTGTGCATGGCTCTCGGCAACACGAACCCAAAGTGGTAAGAAAGAGGATCTTTGGGTATAAGGAAGGGTTAGGTTTGGAGGATACCCTAGCTTTGGAGTTGCGTCGCTCTCGGTAACAAATACCGGGAGGGTTGATGAGGCAAATGCTATCTTTACCCCAGTATGCACAGCAAGATAGAGCTAAAGCTTCAGCAGCACTAAGTGGACTAAAGATGCGAGCGTCACTTCACGATATTTTTTCCTTTATTTGTGTTACCATTTCTCTTCAGATTTTTTTTTATATATATATATACTAATGACCGATAACTATTTACTTACATGTAACTAAATTTATTATCCCCCCCCCCCCCCCCCTAGATCTTTATTTTGCCGAAGATAACTGCATCCATATTGTAAAGATTAACCAAACTAGCTAGCATGGGGCTTAACCCTCCCAATCACAATATTTTCATAGTAGAACCACCACCCTTATACTCGGTTTCCATGTGACATTTTTCAACACCTATTTCCTTCACATATCTAGGCTTAATCCACAGGTGGCACCATATATTGACAAACCCCATGCCATCAGCTCATCTTGTGGAGTTCATTTTTCACTGTTAGTAGCTACATCATTTGCTTGCTTTTACATCAAAGTGAAGGGAAAATGTATAAAATGGAGCTATGGAAAAGGCAATCTTAAGAACTCGGGACATGTAGAGGCTGTTGGTTATTTCCTGGTAAAAATCAGGCTGCTACAGAAGTACCCATATTCCTTCTTACGCTACTTTTTATGCTTTATAAGATGGCTGTGTCCATTTCCTTCTATCTCTGTGCATCGCTTTGGGTAATATTAACCGGCTTAATTTTTTTACTGTGACAATGGAGTCTTCCCGGTCAATACTTATGTCAGATTTATCCTCGTGTGATAAGAACAAATCTGATTAATTCAATCGCATCCACTCGCTGACAAACTTGATGTGGTGAGTCCCAATATCAGGGGAGGGCATGAAGTAGATCAAGGAAATTATGGGGTAAAATAGGCTGAAATAAAAATAGAGAAAAATTATATAAAACCAGAATAAAAAATGCTTCATATTGGCTATAATGAAACTCTACAGACGACCCTGCCATCTTTGAAAGTCTACTGACTGATGCACCAAATTTTGAAAAACTCTACTGGAATGAAAACCATTGTTCAGTAAAATCTATGGGATTTCACATATTCCAAATCCCCGTGGAAATTGTACAATACATCCTAAACACCAAACCAACCTAAACTTAACCCAGTGGGATTTATAAACTGCAAACTTGTATTCCCATGCCAGGGGGCTCAATGCAATAATACTAAAAAAAAAAATGAAATAAATAAATCCGCACCCAATGGCCACTGGGATATGTACCGTTCACCATAGTCTTTTGTTAATTTTTTTGCACATAGATGGCCCCACAAGTGCTCAGCCACTAAGGAGTTGATTAATAGGCTCTAGTGATGACTGCACTGGATTTCCCCAGTCCTTGAATTTTATTTGCTATTAATATGGTTAGAATTCTTGCCCTTTTTATATAAAGTTATTGAAATACTAATAATTAGAATAGTAGAAGGATATAGAAGAATTTTTTTTGGTAATCAAGGATAAAGTTAAACAAGATAGAAACAAAATTGATAATCCGTGGTGACTAGGCACTTGAGCAGCCATCTCTGTTTTAAACTCAAATAAGCTAGAATTATTGTAGACCTATGCAATCATGCCATCTGCATCCATTGGGTTAATCCATGACTCATAGCATACCAAGAAATACAAGGATAAAAAAGATTTACTTACCAAGAGTGTGCATGGTTCGTTAGTTCTTAATGTTATTGCCATAAAGAACACCACGTCTGACAAATCACAAAAAATTGGTAATAGAACGTTGAGTGAGAATGAACATGTGACCCAGTTCATGTAATAGGCACAGATGTTTGAGGGTAATTCAAGTGTTCATTATTTTATCCTGTACTTTGATATACACAGAATGTAACGGTTTTCAGCCAGACAGCTAGCTTCCTTTTCTCTGTTTCACACAAGGATTTGTATTGTAAATTGTAGCATTTGTAAAGCTATGTGGAAATGAGATTAAAAAAAAAAAAAAAAATGCAAATAAGAATGATGCAGGCTTGAATATGTAATCAGGATAATGGAAATCCCCCAGATTATTAACCATACAAGAATACAGTTGAAATTTGGTAATAGTTTTAACACAGATTTGCAATTTGAGCAGATAGCACTTAGTCTTGAGTGGCTTGATGTAGAAGTTAATTTGGTAATTGTTAGCAACATAACTACACTAAGGGATGCCATGTCGTCTGTACTACTACAAGGCTAATAACCTCTGCTACAATATTCTGGCAACATAGAGCTTGAATTGGCTCCCCATTTGATGGTAAAATGCCAGGGATGCCTATGAGCTTTATCGTGGAAGAGAGAGAGAGAGAGAGAGAGGGAGTGTGTTTTTTTATAGCATTACCAAGGTGGGGATTGGTTTGAAGTTACGTGGTGGTTACTAGTGGGGTGTAGATCTGTAGATGGTAAAGAGTCGATGAGAGGTTTATCCATTTTTTCGGTCTAGTTATTTTTATACCGGTTAGTATTGGTTTTAGTGTTTGTGAAGTTCGATAGTTGATGTAGTTTTCAGTTTGCACTCTCACCATAAATAAATTTCTTTCTTAGTTGCACTAAAACGTTTGGTGGTATAATTCTTAATTTTTTCAAGTGTGCCTCTTTGTATAGATTATCAAAATAATATTAATGTTTGCAAAA